ACAATTGGCTACTTATTTTTTCCACACATTGATAAACATGAAAATGTTTCTAAGGATCAAAGCCAGTGTCTCTTGGCTGCACACAGAGGTTGCATGAGTTTCATCAGCTACTCCTACCAGCATAAAGAACACACTCTGGCATACAGTATTCTGTAGGTATATGACACCACAAAGTCTACAAACCAGATGATCTCAGAGAAAGTCTCTGAATAGATTGATTTTATTTGTAATCATTTCAAAGATGTGTATTTTTGACGGCAGAGAGTCCAGCTTTGCTCTGAAATGCAGCTCTCTGATACTGAAGTCAGCTTTGTTCATAAGATGTTCCTAAATATGATTGTGTGGAAAAGTTAAAATCTCATTAATTCCTAAGTCATCTAAAGCAACTGACCTTTGAGAAGACACAGTGTTCCCCATTTCCCTTCTGGCTACTTCCCTCTCTCCCACATTTTTTTATCATTTTCTACTCTTGGATCTTTATCACTGGAGTCTGTTGCCTCACAGACTGAAGACAATCTGAAAGGAACGTGTTTCAGTTATTCATGAAAAGGATTTTCATATATTAAACTAGTAAGTGAACACATACTTCTAAGGAAAAAATAAGAGAGCTAGCCTATCATTATGCAGGGCAAAAAAATCTGTAGTCTTAAATGTAGCCTTTAATACTTTAGGCATATGTCCTTTCATTTAAAGAGCAACTATAGAAGAATTACGAATGTTCTTTGAGGAGCATAAAGTATGTCTCTTTGTGAAAGGGTGGATAATGGAACTAAAAAAAATTCCCATCTTCCTCCAGAACTGCTTTACATCTAAATTTACAAACTTACAACCAGTACTAAGAAAAATTTCTAACAAGATTTCTTAAAATTAACTACCAGAGGAGGTAACCATCTAACCTTGTTCTCTACACTGGAATATCTGGCTTGTACCACAAGTACTACAAGAATGAAATACAACGGCAACGTCTTTCTTGTGCATATTACTTTTATGAATTGAACACCTGCTGCCAAATTCATTTCTGGTCTGAGATGATGAGATGCATGCATATGCCTACACGAAACGCATATGGGGAAGCACTTAAAAAACAAAACAAAACAAAAACAAAACCCAAAACACCAACAAAACCCAGTTAAATTCCTTTCTGCTGTTGACTTGCAAATCCTAGTAAACCAAGTATTTTTTTAGAAATCTGTTAATGAATGGTCTTCTAATTCACCGAGTCTTCCTCTACAATAACAATCCTTCACAACATCATCTATTTCCTTTGTAATGACAGAATGCTGCAATCAAAAAGAGCACCTCTCATGGTATTATAAACCATAAGATGCTACTGTTGACATATAAAACTATCTATAGGCATATCACACAAACTTTCCCTCATCGGTAACAGTCATAAATTGCTCTTTACTCTTGAGGCAAACTCCACATTGTAAACAAAATTGTATTTTGTCATGAATGTCATTAACCAAAAATAAAGAAATGTTAAGTTTGCTGCTATTCTTTTCCTCTCAAATGCAACTGGCTTTAATTTCCAACCAGTAGATGTTCTTCAAAACCAGTGTTCCCTGATATGTTCACTAGTCCCTATGTACATGAAATTATTTGACTTGGAAGACCTCTCCTTTAGGCACAACATATTACTACAGTGGACGGGGACCAAGGCTGAAATCTGCCAATGCGTTTTTGCAAGTTTGAAAAGCTCCTTGCTTACAGGTTAAATAATTCTGATTAGAATAGAAGTCTAGAGAAAGTCGACACAGTGACACTTTCTCAGAAATACGCTGTAATTCCTATATTTACTGTCTTCATCAGTTCCTGCAGTACTTTAAAACCAGCAGGTACTGAAAATGAAGTGCCATCGCTTTAACTGGTGTAGAGAAATGACAGGAATGCAGATGGCAGTACATCCATTTAGGCATTCACTCAGGTTTTCCTCCTCTGAAAGCTTCTCTTATTGAAGCATTGGTCCTGAAGATCCTGTGATAGAAGATATTTCTATCTTCTAGAAAAGTTTTCAGGTGGGAAACCTGTGATGGTACCTTTATATGGTGACCTGTTGAGCGCTCTCACTTTGGGAACCTAAGCACCTATGACAAAAATCTAGGGAAGGTTAAGTTACATCATACCCCATTTCAGACTGATACAGATGCTGAGGAACCGTAGTGGTGATTGGTTCCACACAATTCTTCCCAATCTTGGTAACGTGCATGAGGGTAGTTAGGGTACATGCTATCACTTCTGCCATAAATACTCCTAATTCATATGCCTATAAGCACACCAGACACTACTTAACTTTGGTAAGCGCGATGCACTGCTTCGATTATACCCAACACTGACCATATCACTCATTCAAAGAAATAGGCACACATATGTACAGGCAATATTCTAGACACATAAAACATAGATGATCTCACAGTACATATACACACATAGTAAAATCACGCTCACATGCAAGGATAAATATATTCTAAACACTTCAGAATGGAAACATTATAAATACATGTTAAAGTTTGCTGAGTATTGCAATATGGACAAATAAATTCTCATATATATTAAACAGGTTATTTTTTAAATTACTAACACATTTAGTAACATGCATTTAATTAATCTTCTAAAGATACTTTTCAACCAGCAGGTATATTAAGGCTTACAGAGTTTTTCCTCTGAGATACAGCCTCTGCTTACAATGGTGTTCTATCTAAGATGTAATTACGTGAATTAACAAAATCAATACATTTTTTCCTCATAAATTATTTTGAGCCGTAAAAGAGGTTAATCTACCATCTTTCCTAGAATATATGGAAACTCTGTCAAAGAGACTTCTTATTTATTTGTCATAGTAATTATTGCTCTCTGCCTGATAAAGTACCCTCCTTTGTCATTTAAGCAAGCAGTTTACTTTGTAAGGACTATCAGAAAACCTGAATATTCCAACTCCTGTGAATATAATTCAGCAACCTGTCAAGTTAAATCATATATTAAAAACAGAGCTATTCTTGCATATTTCATTAAATTAACCCCCTTAATATTTCATGTTTAAATAGGGGAGGGATAGTTGTAAGGCAAAATAACTCTGAGCTATCGTGCAAGGAAGAAGATTCTGTCCTCTCTAGAAGTAACATTCCAATAATCTCTTTTGCTTTGTCTTTTATTTCCTCCTCTCTCCTTTTTCTACTCAAATCTGCTTGGAGAACGTTTCAGAAGTTAAGACTCCCCCTATATTTACTGCAAGGATACTCAGTCTCCCTGTTCGCCAGTTGCTATTCAAAATACATATATACAAAAATACTTTTCCATATTCAATATAGATTTGTCCATTAGACTCACTGCTAGTATGTCTTAGCATCTTCCAGTAGTGCCCTATTTCATATGAATAACACCTATTGTATTACAGCTTGAGAAGTTCAACCATTTAGGGTGTGAGAGGTGGGCTGACTTCAGTCACAACCTAAAAAAACCCATTACCTGAACAAGACAACACAGCTACCAGAAACAAGTAAAGGAGGTTATTTTTCCTCCCTCCACACTTACATGCTGGCACAACTGAGATCAATGAGTAACCCATCCTTTGCTGTTCCTAGGATCTCAAGCATTTAAACACCAGTTGAGTAAGAAAGAGCTGAAAAATCAGAACAGGCCTCCTTAGCAGGTGGGGGGAAAAACACATTCCTGTGACTACTGATCTTGCCTAATACAGTAAGTTCCTAAAAATATTTCTTATTTCCCAGCATTCCATTTTTCTTTGTTCACCGAACTCAGTTTGCACAATGAAGCCAGAAATATCAGCTTCCTTTTCTCCATCTTCAACATTAGCAAAATGTCAGTGGGTTTGGATTTCTTACATTAAAGGAGAAAGATTATGGTTTAGGGTTTTTGTCATTTTTGTTTCTATAGTTTTGGTGCAGTTCTCTGAACATCATGAAAATATTACATAACACTAATAAGTTTTGAAAACCTTCTTTCTTTCTTTTTAATACCAAAGTCTAAACATTGGATCTATGCTAATAAATCACACTCCTCTTGATAATTCAGGATAGAGGAGTCCATGAATCTCAGAAGAGAGAAATAAATTCCGATCATGGTGAAGTGATAACTTTGATGCAGATACAGGAAGTCACTGTATTTGTTTACAGTGGGTTTGATGCTAATTGAGGAGGAATAAATCCTCACAACTTTACACACTGCGAAGTCATGTCTACATCAGATGACTATGCAACCACTTCCCTTTACTAGATTTTAAACTATTCTTGACTCCCTTTGCACAGCTGAAAAGGAATATATGAAACAGCACAATGGGTTAAGTAATCACAATAAGCAAACAATATGACAATCTGATTGACTACCAATCAAATAAAGAACCAGTTACACAGACCATGCTACCAGTTCTAGGCCAAATTCCCACCTAGTACCCACCTTTTACTCGACTGAAGAACAAAACTGACACAAACTGCTGAAGTACTTTCCATGAGCGGACTCAGATAAAGTGAGTTTTGTTATAATGCACATTGCATTGGAGGTAAACTTCAGTATTTATTGTTGTCATTCCCCAAAATCAAAGAGCTTTTAATGATTTGGAGTACCAATGACTTCATACTATCCCCTTTTTAAGACAGATAATATTGAAAAAATGGATGTGCTTTTGATCTCAAAAGCAAAAGGACACTACGTCTATATTTATTTTTTGTTATGAAAATATATCTCAATGTTCACAGCAGTCCTGCATCTGTCTTCAGGTAACAAAACAGAAATATGTTGAATTACACAAGTTTTTGGCATCAGACAAACCCTACTGAAGTCAACTTAAGCTGAAGGTAAACTATAGTAAAAATAACAAAAATTCTGTTTTAGATGCCTAAATATGGATCTAATAATTTTACTTTAGACACTTTTTCCCCCCCTATGATACACTTCAAAGCAAGAAATAACATGGCTTTTTAATGTCACATTCCTATAATTCTCCAAGCAAAGAAATTCAGTGTTGAAAGGCAGTAATACTGTACCTTGATTTCTTCTATTTCATCTGGCACTATCTTGTATGCAGATATAGTCCCACCCAACCTGAAATCAGGAGAAGAAAAATATTCTCTGAAATCAGAAGAAAAACGTTCTCAAAATCAGGAACACAAAGCACAGCATGTTAATGGTGTCACGACTTTCCAAAACGCGAATCTGCCTCCTACCAATTTAGAGGTAAAACCTACAAAGCCCCAAAACAACAGCAAAAAAACCCCTTTCCTTTCTTTATCCAAAGAAAAATATTCACATGATTAACATAAACATCAGAAACAAGGTGTCCTTCACTAGCCTGAAAGATAAGAATTAGGTCAACCAAGTAGAATTACCATCACCAGGATGTTATTCTTTATATTAATGGTCATCAGTCATCGTACTCTATGATTTCTTGTTTGTTGTCTAAGTCATATGGATGAGTTTAAATATTTGAAGCCTGATGTGCTTTGTGCTCAGTATTTCACTAAGTTGCTATACAGTCTTAAACGCATCCAAATGCAATTCCAGAAATTGAAATTTTTTAATTAGACGTGCATGTACAGACCTTACAAACCATACAGACTCTATGGCTTCCATGTTTGAAAAGTCTCTGGAGTTCATGATTGGTAATAAAAAGCGGGTTATGTGCAACTGATGGAAAAAAATAAGAGGTTTTGTTCCATGTTGAACTTACTGAACTTACTTGTCTACATCCTGCAAAAGTTTATGGTAAAGAATAGTTCACATACTGAAGATGCATGAATAGCATGTATGATAAATGGTGGTAAATATTACATTTTCCCCAGAGACATGCAGACATAGCTTCTTTTATTTCATGAAGCAGTATCATTGATAGTGACAATTCAGACCTAAAAATATAACTGCACTAATGACCTCCCTCCTGGCTCTGCACAGCAACACTAGTCATTTTCTAGGTCCTACAGAAATGGAAATCACATAAGAAACTATTTATTGTAGAGCAGTAGATAGTTATCAAATGTGTATTTGTATTAGCTCCTTGTTATTGGCATTTTTCCTTCCAATTGTCAGCATTTCTACACAGATGTATTTCCTTATATTCAGTCTTGAAATTATTACACAGTTACTCAGCCTAAAAAGTTTTGCGTCGAGTTTAACATACTCTGAATCTGCCAAGTTGCAGTCCAAATGGTAGCACATTTTAAAGTAAAATGTCAGTTACCACAATTCCACATTTTTGAAAGAGAAAGATATCTTAGAAATTATGTTACTGTTTAAATAAATAATCTCTCACCTATAGCTCAGCTCACCATATCTATCTTAATACACTTTCAATCCTAGGCTGACACCTTTAGCTTGAAAATCCAGACTACATACATAAATAATAACAAATTTGAAACTGAAAGAGAACCAGAGACATAAATATACAATTCTATAAATGCCTCAGAGCTGAAACGAAGTTTTTAAGGAAGTCTAGACTTTCTTCATTTCAGAACATTAGATTTCACTTCACCTTATAACTCCTGGAAGAGAGATTCACTGCAGCAGACTGCCAGTTAAACCAGGACATAATAAAGACGTTTGACTTTGTGTATACAGTCCCGTTGAGAGTTTCACAAAATTTTACAGGCATCACACACACTGGGAGGATCCAGTTAATACAGCCTGAACTCTTCTACTGGCCCTAAGTATGATATATGTGAGGAACAGAATTTTTGTTTTTACTATATAATAATGTATCTATGAGAAAAAAGGATTTAAGCTACCTATTTGGCAGCCTGTGAGTAGTGAACAACAACATATTTAACATAAAAACAGTCTGATTTTTTTCTGGCAAAATCTCATTATTAGCTTCAATTTTACGCACAAAATATTACGCCATGCAATTCACTGGCCAAATGAACTTAAGAGGCAGAGCTAGTTGTGAAACATGCTGCATACTCTTCACTCAAAAGTCATAAATCGCAGTTCATTCCAACCACGTGGTAAATACTCTGAAAAGAAATTTGAAAGCACTTAGTTTGGTGTTACCAAATAGCTATTACACATCTCCCACAGCCAGATAAGTGTAAGGGACTACGCAACGTCACACACACAAAAGTTACTGAGAAAAACAAAAACATTGTGATGAATGGTAAGAAAGAACAGCAAAATCAAGGCAAACTGAAAATCAATGCGTTAATCGGTATGTCCAACTTAAGGAAAACGTCGTATTTTTAGTATTCCTCTGAATGACATTTAAGTGTGTCACTATCAATTGTGAACCGTCAGGAAGTTTGCTTGTTATTTTGCAAATCCTTGATTTGATCACTGACACCTGAAAGAACAAAGATGAGACAATTACACACAGGAGATTTCAGCTACAGGGTGATATGCAGTCTGTGACAGAGGACTTGCACATGGCATATGTTTTTTCATTTTCTTGGGAGCAACCTCTCTCTGCAGGTTGGTTTTGTTAGGACATATTACACTAACCTTTTTGATCACGGTGTTTCAAGAAGCAATTACACTGCGATCAGAAAAGCAAAGGACCAGCTAGCATGAGCACACATTAACTACTGTAGGCTTTATACAGTAGAATATAATGCTGCAAAGAAGATGTTAGAAGGGCCAGAATTCAGTTCACCAGGGACCCAATTTTTGTGCAGATTCACTCTTCATCTGTCACACATTTTAGTTTTATTATAGATATTATTATATATTTTCTCCAGTGGAACAACACATCCAGCATCCTACAAGTGGCATTTTCTCCCAGAACAAATACAAACCAACCAAGAGCAAAGCTAAATATACAGACAGCTACTTCCAGTAAGCTGAAAAGACAGTCACAAACTTCATCTACAGAGACCTATCGCACAAAGTTTTTCTCTTCCAAACTGCAGTATTTTCACACTACAGCAAACCACATTATTTAATAGTGAAATTATTTTAAATAATAGCTAGCTTTAATTTTTCACATGTGTTTATGTAACTGATAATCTCTGAAAGGTTCCACAATTTATATTCAAATTTTGGTAGACATCAGTCTCATCAGGTCTGTATCATATCCTGCATGTAATACAGACACCCCCGTTCTCTAATCCCTTTGCAGAAGAGAAGTGAAATTATTCCTAGATGTAGAAATTAGAGCTGACATAATAAAAATTAAGAACCACACCTTACACTGGGCTAAACTGGTGAAGGTCTTTGAGGAAAGAATCAAAAAATATAGGATAGAAATTCCATAAAAATAATTAGGAAATCATAAATCTCATATAACTATTTGCACAGGACTTTGTGAAAGAATAGAAACTTTGTGTCTTTTTTTAGGGAAACTATTCTAGGAAAAAAGTGCATCTCAGGTTGACATATAATGCATAGACTGGGTTCACAGGAAGCTCACAAAAAGGATTCAGGAGAATGTTGAAAGCAAGGTTTCTACAGCAACCTAAGGAATTAGCAAAATATAGCAAATAAACTGAAGTGAGGCCAATGCAATTGTATTGGAACAGATGGAAGTTTTACTATTTCACAAATTAAAGCAGAGTATCACTGAAGAGGGAAAACTTCAACTTCATCCAAGTTAAGGAAAGTTAAAACCCAGGAGGAACTGTGCTCAAACGGAGGCAAGAAACAATGAACCACAACCCAAATGGGAAGAGAACTGAAGAAGACAAAACTTAAAGAAAAATAAATTGCAACTCTGTTAACGATAAACTATCCATTACTTTAATAAGTTATCCTTTTATGACCTGTTTGCTGTATGTTTCAATACTCTATTTAAAACAGCAATACTCTATTGTATTATTGCTGCAAGCTTCTCATTTTTAAAACATTTATTCTGGAGATAAGGTTAAAATTATCACCATGTTATTTCCATATAGTTGCGAGTTGGACTTCTGAATGGTTGTCCCCTGTGACCCTGTACATATATATGCACGTGCTGGTGGACTCACTGGATTATTATTGCATAGCTACATCATGTGGAAGACACTTGTGCATTTGGACTGCATCAATACTGGTCAGCTTTTATAATTTGAATTCTGACCAAAGATATGAACACGGTCTTTATATACAGTTCCACATTCAGTGACTGCCATAAGAAGCTGAGCTATTGATTCATCCATTAACTTAATAAATGAGTCATACTGAATGCAATGAAGTCAATTTTCTAAAAATAGCTTGTAGCCAGCTTGGCTGCTGTCATCTGCTGAAGTTCTCCAATGCCACTTTAATTAACATTAATCTTTCTTCAGATAGATCACTCTGTCTAGATGATATCAAGTTGTCACTAAACCTCCCAGTTTAGTGCTTCAAGTTGTCACTAAACCTCCCAGTTTAGTGCTTCATCTTCAAATGAAAGCAAAACTCAAAAACCTCTGCTCAATTTTTTTTTTCCAGATCCATCTCATAAATATATTTGTTATCTACCATCAGGATATTCTACCTTCTGACTGATTTATAAACCAAGCAGAATACTCAAGAGAGACTGTGCTTGTGAGCAGATCAAATGACTGGGAGCCAGAATGGCTATTTCTAATTCTAAGGACATGTTTGTTTTATCACAGGCTATTGAATGAACACGTTAAAATACTACTACCAGAGCAAACTGACCAAGACATTTTTAGCCTACCCGACTGCGCTAGCTTAGTGCTGACCCATGAGACATCAGCAAATCATCTTGCCTTGGATCCTCATATACAGCAGAGTATTCCAGGGAAAAAAAAAAATTACATGTCAAAGTAACTTTGTTCTCCACCACCTGTAAGAGCATACATTAAAAGCAGACGCAAAGCTACTTTAATTGATACTCATTTTTACTGACCTTTGAGAAATTGTTAAAGCACGCTGAAGGGAGGAGGTAAGAAGGCATGCTATTTCAGGCTCACTTCCTACACAACAGAACACTGGCAGCTAGAGCAAGCTGGGCTGCAGCTCCTCTCGCTGGCTACATGCCAGCAGTGAATTGTGCAAAACAGCTTGCATCATGAAGACAGTTTTACTTACTCTAAGGTGTAGAATTATGTGATGAGATCCAGCCCACGTTTTTTGTTCTGTATCTTTTTTTTTTTTTTTAAAATGGATCCAATAATCAGATCCTTGAAAACTTA